AACAGGGCTGTGTTTGGCATGCACAGACTTGTTTTCCATTCTACTCCTCTAGGATTTGAGGGTCTCCCCTCCCTGGGCGAGGTAAGAGGTCCTCGGATGACGCCTTCTGCTGTTATGGAGCTGTAAAAATTGGGGTAACTAAAACAGGGCCGTCTTGGAGGACGTGGGAAGCCAAAGGAGCTTTAAAACCAGGGTAGCTGGCAACAGCTTTAGGAAAGCGGGTGCTGTCTCAGGGGTCGATCAGATTCTTTCCTTGGAAGATCCCAGGTTTGTTCTTTAGGATCACCATGGAAAACCATCTTCAGGAGCAACGTTGGTAGAGATGTCCAGTAGGGTTGTTGCTCTTCATAGCCTTCAGATGATGGAGCAGAGAAGATCAGCCATTGCCCTCCTGATCTTTTGGGACCCTGAGCTTTAGGAACAGGAAAAAGATCCATCTTTAGAGTTGATTGTCTATCACCCAAATGAGCAAGGAACAGATGCACAGCTTTCCCTGCTAGGTTTGCCATTCAACCTCCATCAAATCCAATTTCTTTCTGGTCTTAATTTGAGTTTGCCAACTGGGGTCCTGGAGTGGGGATTTTTCATTTCCTTTCCTCTCTCAGTTTACATTTCATTGCATTGACTGCAACTCCTCAGGCAAAAATGCAGAAGGTTAACTCTGCCACCTTCTGCTTCTCCATGGAGGAAGCATGTAAAATCATCAAGCCCTTGTGGGAATTCTACTTCTTCTTGGGTTCCTCAGCCTTCTTTGAAACATGCTGGCCTATTTTGGATGTCTCCTCTTCCCATCATGGACTTGGAGCTTCCCATTTAGCAGGTCCCGCTTGAAATCCAGGGAGTGATGTTGATGGCTGTAGTTCAAAGCAGTCTTCCTCAGATGTTCTCCAGTAGTTTGGACTTCAGCTCCCACAATCCCCTCAACCTGCATGATTGCTTCAGAGGGATTGTGGGAGTTGACGTTCCAGCGGGTTTGGAGGGCACCAGCTTGGAAAAGGGAAGTCTAGAAAATAGGGCAAGAAGGAAAATCTGACACCTTCTAAATTTCCAATTTTTCTCACCTTCTTGGCCAGGCCTTCACTTCTTGCTGCATTGGTTCTGCTGGCCACCGGACAACCACCACATCCACGGTCTACTCCCCCCCATCTCACTCTCCAGATTTGGGTTTCCCAACACACCCTTTCCTCAGCCGCTCACAGTCCTTCCCAGCTTCTCTGGCTCCTCACACCTGGACACCGATTCCCGCCCGGGAAAGTGTGGTTTCCACTATGGTCGCCGGGGCCCAGGACACCGAATGGGGGATGCCCACCTCCCTTGAAGGGCACTTGGGGTCAGTCTCCATCTTCTACGAGGCACTCCAGCCTGCTCAGGTGAAGGCCCTCTTCTTGGCAGGTAGGGCTCTGGAGAAAGCTGTGTGTCTTGCCCATCTCCGTCCAAAGGCACTGGAAGAAAAACCAAACTGGAGCTGACCAGTTTGGGATGGGGGCATTCGTGGCACAGACAGAGCAGCACAGGAGCAAAGGGGAAAGCAGGAGATAAGAATGGCCCACGTCTGGATGGAGGACAAGTTGCCCTTGTCCAGAGCCTCCCCAGCTGGTTTCCCCTGTAGGGATGGGCCTTTTCAGGAGCAATGTGGTCTTACATGCTCATTTTGCAGTCTGAGCAAGTCTACCACCTTTGACAACAGTTCTGTTTCCTTCACTCCTGCAGGTCCAAATATTGCATCGCCATTTAAGCCAGAGGGAGATTTTTGGGAGCTCAGTAGCAAACTCCTTTTGTATTACACACCCCAGGTAAGGACAAGACAGAAGCCCTTTTGCTGCAAATCTGTGGTCGGCCTCCACCTGGAATTGTAGCGACCTAGCCTGATAAGAGGACCATGTTTGGACATCCTCAGAGCTTATCTTCAAAATTGGCTTTCTTTCCCTTCTGTGATTCTCTAGGCCTGTAAAAGTAACATCTGTCTGGATCTCTCCCCAAACCACAACTTCGATGGGAGGCTGACAGGGCATCAAGTGGTGAACTGGGATGTTAAGGTAGGTGGGAACCCATACCCAAGTCTTTGAGGAACCCATCTTAGCTGTCAGGAGGAAATTATTCCTAGCTGCTTGCTTCTCTGTACGACCAAGCTAGGTCTCCATGGATATTCTCCTACCCCCCTTAGAAAAAGCCAAAGTGTGGGGTCTTGTGGGGGCCACAATGTGATGATTCTCATTCCATGAAGCTTTGTTTTGGGTTCTGCATAGGATGTGATCAACTGTGTTGGCGGGATGGGCGCCCTCCTTCCTTTACTGGATCAAGTAGCATCTCAGAAGGAAGAAGGCAAAGATAGCCAGGAGATCCATGACTTGGTGGGCCCGGAGCTGACCTCTTCACGGAGTGCCCAGGGCTTGCCCATTGCCCTGGGGAAATCTTCAGGTTATAAAGGTCTTCATTTCATTAGATCTGATGCGGGGCACAGTTTGCATGAGAACCCTTTTAGAATTCCTCGCTGATCTTTCCATCGGGCAAAGAGAAGGTTCTTTCTAGACCTCACGCAGGACATTTAATCCAAAGGAAAACATGTTTTGGTGCATAGAATGATTAATTGACCGCTCATGCTCGGGTTTATAACTGAGTGGGCAAAATGTTTTGCTTGGGAACCAGCCAGAATCTCTATTAGCATTTCAGGATGATCACTCCTTCTCTGGGTGGGGGGACAAGGCACTTCTGCAGAATTGCAATCAGAGGATTGAACTATAGTGGCAGGGGGGGAACGTCTCAAATCCATCTCACATCCAGAGCAGGCTATTACTCTACCTTGATTAGGACCAACTGAATGATCACAAAAGATCATGCAGGCTTTTGAGTTACGCAGAACGCTTTGGCAGGCTCGAGGGGAACCCCAACAAGAGAAAAGGAGGAAATTCTAAAGATTAGTCTGGAAGCTGAAAGCCACAAGGTTTAAAGGTTCGAGTCAGTCCCGAGGTGGAGTTAGCGGACTTGGCTAACTTAGTGTAGAAGCTGTGGCTTGTGCGATGGCACCTGATCTTAAGCACGGAAGGAAACAGGAACTCCTTGCAGCCCTGTAGAGATCATGAGTCTGCAAGTGGGGGTGGGTGGGTTCTGCAGGGTCTCCAGTGGGGGGAGTCTGCAGGAGGAGGGGTGAAAAGCTCAAGATGGCAATTGTGATTACACAACCAAAACTCTGCCACTTGATAAAGTAGCCACGCTGTGTTACCTAACAAGGATGAATGCACAAAGTCAGCCTAGTCTTTGCATAATTGAGACCGGATACTTTTAGACCAATATTTCTCAAACTGGGCGACTTTAAGATGGGTGGCCTTCCCCTCCCAGAATTTCCCTGCCAGCCACGTAATCTGGGGAGTGACATCCACCCCTCTTTAAATCGCCCAGTTCGGCGAAAATTTGTTTACAAGAAT